AGGGAAAATTAATTTCAGAGGAGATAAAGGCTATGAAGGAAAATCAAAGTGGTGTCGGTGTAGTTAAAAAGTAGAAGCAAGCTATGCTAGAGAGGTGAGGATCTGCTCGTTTAGGACTAGACTCTGTAAAGTCTTAGGCTGTGATTACCACTCACTTGAAGTTCAGGGTTGCAAATTGGCTGCATGAGTGACCTTGGTGGGTCTGCATTAGTACTTGGAGCCTACTGGGGATAAGGGAATGCGAAAGATACAGTGTAGTTTTGTTTTTTTTCTTCAGTATACCAGCCTGGGGGATCTGTGGTTGTCTGAGCTTGTTACCACACTGTTATAAAACAAAAGGAATTGTAGTTGTGGTATTTTTTTGTAGTGATATTGTGCCACTGCAGTTTTTTTCTCTTCCTAGTCCGTATCATTCAACTTGTTGAGGTTTGCAGCTATTTAGCATTGTTCCTTTTCAACTCTGGCTAGAAAAATGGCCAGATCAGTGATGTGTGTGAGTTGGTTTCCATGCTCATTTGGAGCTTCTGGCTGCATGGTAACTTGTTTTTGGTAGGTTGCCTTCTAGATTTGATGTATTGGTCTCAGCTAAGTAACACACTGTTAGTTGGGGGTATTTGTAACCTGGGTAGTTTCTTGCTTGTGATAAAGGCTCCATCTCCCCTGAGCAATCCTTTTCAAAATTTTAATGGGTACTGTGTTTTTTAAATAAAATAAGGATTTTCATGTTCTACAAATATGCAGAAAAGTAGGCTATACTGAATTGTGTCAGCTAGGTTGCTGTGTTGTGTGTAGGCTTCTGTGGCCTAAACATTCAGACTTCATTTTGTAGTATGAGATGTCATCAGTACTGCTTGGACTTTACTCTCCTTGAGCTGGTGGTGGTGTCTGATCTCAAAAACAGCCCCAGTTATGCATTCACGGAATTAATACACCTAAATAATTTCTTGCCAGAATAAATGTGTGATTAAATGGGAATTAAATGGGAATAATTCAGTGTTAATTGTTTAGTGGAAAGGTGGATAGATATGCATTGAATCTATTGAAAATACTTAGGATACCTTATTATAGTGTCCTGATGATGCACATTTTTTTCAGGCACCATCGAGTCTTCAAATCTTGAATGTATGCTGTCCTCTAGGCAGTCATGCATAAACTGAACACAAGGCTGAGAACCTGTTCGTAAATATTTTTGATGAGTGCTGTTTAAAATGGATTATAAAATACACCTGTTGTTTCTAAAAGTATGTAGAGGCTGGTTCAGTTTTCAGCAGGTGGATGGATGAGCTTGCTTCTGAGAGATACCAGTCTGTCATTACAACTGACGTTGATGCAATTCTGTGTTCTAAGGATGTTTTAGGATTTTTTCAAGGAAATTATAGATTAAAGGGAAGTTTTTTTCCCCCATAATTTGTCTGCCAAAGAGAACTGATGATTAGCAGTTTTTGTTCACATGTCTGTTATGCTATAAAATAATATTTTAAGAGCTTGCCCACAGATTTTTTTGATACTTCAACTAATTTAATTAACAAAATATGCAAAAATCGGGGAAAGAAGCATATGCATTTCCTGGACATGCCAGGTTCACCAAAACTAGTGCTTGACTGTCTTTGAAGTGGAGTGGCTTGAAGATTATGAAGTGGAGTTTTAAAGAAATTCAGTTTAACTATCTGTCAGCTATCCACTTGAGATTCAGGAAGAGTGTGAGATGCATTTTGTGGATGATTTTGAAAGGAAATCTACTTGAAATATGGGTCAAAATTATTATTAGTTGGAAGGTGAGTACTCTGGGTAGGGGAGTGTTAATAAGAGACCTAGACTCCCAGAGTTTGTTTTTTTTGGGAGGTTAATTCAAAGTGTAGAAAACATCTGTAAAACTATAGTGACATTAACAAGTGTTTACAATTTTAAATGAGGACAGATTTTCTTGGTTTTATTGCTTCTTAAAATTCATGTCAGAACCTCTTGCCTGAGAGCAGGGCCAAATACCTGTATTTTCGTGACATAAATAGCAAGTCAAAGCATCTCAAATTAGACCAAATAAAATTCAAATACCTGAGACTCAATATGGAAGTTAAGTTCTTTGTTATGGATTTATAATCAGAAAAACAACATGGAAATCCTTGCAAAGAATAAAATATTTGGTGTTATAACTGAATAAATATAGACTATATGGATGGTTGTATTTTACACTCCATGGTCATCAGGCTCAAAGCCTCTTTTGATACAGTACTACCTTATTGTATTATTTGCCCTACTCGGCTCTGATGTTGAAGTTTCTGAACTAAAAATGTAGTCTATAGCCCTATCTTAAGTATGTAAATAGCCTGTTCAGTTGATTGTAAGACTGCTATAAGTGGGATTCGAAAAGGCTTTGTACTGAGTGGGGAGGACACTTGAACTAACCAGAAGAAAACACTGCAGAGCACGCCATACATCTTAAACTGTGCCACTCTTTGGCCTAGAAATGAGAACAAAATTCAATTTAAAAAGCCCAATTCTTCTGTTTCCACATGCCAAATATTATGTTTACACCATGAATTAAGATAGCAGTGAGCCAATTCTGGAAGCAGAAGCATGTGCAGTGAGGTCTAAGCCAGCTTGGGCTTGGCAGCTGTGTCAGAATATGCCAGCTAGAGAATGTCACCAGAAGTACTGCAGTTGCAGTTTCCTGTGTTAGGAGCTTGGCTCACTTGTCCCGTATGAAAACAATGCAGGGCATACACAGGCCAGTATTTTCCTTTGCTTCATCCCTTTTTTCACCCAGTCTGAAAGTGACCTTAGGAACTAGCATAGTTCTTGTGTCACTGAGGAGGTAAACTCAGCCCTGTATTGGATCACATCATCTGATTGAGGGAGCCTGGGCATGATTGCTGAGACAGAAAAAAGTCTTGCAGAAAGGTGAGCCAGTACTGAGCACAACCACCAATGAGTTTCTGTATCTTGTCTTAGGATTTTGAGGTTTCAACTCAGTTCTGCATCTTAGCAAATATGTTCTAGCTCATTGATTCATGGCTTTTGGATCCCAGCTGCTCATTATATGGTTTTCTGTGCAGTAGAAACTTCCTAGCTTTACTGAGGACTAGAGCTCTGCATGCTGCTTTTAGAGCATAAAGCAGTCATGGACTTGAATTGCCCCCCACCCCTTTTTTTAGTAAAGCTGTTTAGATTTGGGTTTTTTTTTGTTTGTTTGGGTTTTTTAAAATAAAATTACTGCTACTTATCCCACTACTAAATACATAGTTAGAATTCTCTGTGATCAGAAGCCAGCCGTAAATCTTATTCTTTGTATTAAACTCGATGTTTTCAGTCCGTGACAGGTATCGTTTGAGTGGACTTGCTGCAGAAGACATCTTACTGTGCCCAACTTGTGATTTCTCATTGAAACGGAGGGACAGCAAGTGAGAAATTCAGCCTGCCACACTGGGCTTTGTGCTGGGATAATGTAAAGCAATAATGTAGTTATTTGAAAAATGCCATTTGTTTAATTTTAGGTGCCATGAAACTTTCAATTACTTGTAAAATTAAACTGGACAGTCTAAAAGTGATCTGTTTGGATTTATTAGAAATCAGATCTTGCAACTTTTGGAAGAGCTAGGCCTTAGCAGAGCAGGAGATGTGGTTCAGTGTTGTCACAAAGATACAGATACGGACATTCATGAATTTTTATTGTGCAATAAACCAGATGTCAAGAAAACAATGTGTTTCAGAGCTCTTTTAAGAATACAATTTTGAGTATTTCAATTTTATTTAGAACTGCAGCTTGGTTTTTTGTTCCTCAGAGTGCGTGTTTCACTTGTGAGACTTGGTTATGCAAGTCACATTGTATTCTCTTGGCTTGTTTTATGCTTAAAATGTGACATGACATGATTGTTAAAAACTGTAATAAAATACTGGATCAGCCTAAGAAATCCTCTTTTGCTAACTGGTTTTCTGGAATGGTAATGGTTTCAGAAAAAAAAAAATAGACTTAACTAATTACAGAAAAGCTGTGGCTAGCATGCTGCTCTGTCTCTTTTCCCATGACCTTCTAATTTTATAATTTTTTTGTATGTGTGTGAAACCAGATAAATATGATGGCAGAGTGAAATAACATAGTCCAAATGCCCAGCAGGTGGGATACAGAGGTGATAATCTATGTCCTGGTAGCACAGGAAATAGAGTTGCTGGTAATTTAGTCTCTCTACTTTGATTGTGCACAGCTTTTACTCAAAGTTACATCTGTTAAATTTACTCCTTATTTAATACATTGATAACTAAAATTATGGTGGTATTTAGTTTTTTCTGTTTGTCTTTTCTATGACGTAAGTAAATTGATCCTGCCTAAGGCAGAGACATGGACTGGATGACCCCTTGAGATACAATTTTTCTGTGGTTTCACCAAAACTGAAATATAAACATTTAATTATCTGTTCTGGGGCACAGTGCTGCTGGATATTGAAAGCTTTCTGATGTATTTACTGTGCTCCCAGTGATTTCAGTGGTACGTGAAGTTGCTCATTATTTCACTGGGTGAATTCAATTCAGAGGAACAAGCTTAGTTTTCTGAAACTTTTCTCATTGCTTATTTCTGGACAGCTTAGCCAAATCGAAATCTTTGAAAGCAATAGGTGGTGTGGTTTGTCAAGACCTCTCATGTGTTTTCTGCTTTTTGATATCTGAATAGGCCTAGGACTGTTCTTACAGAAACCATCTAATATGTATGTAGAAGAAGATCTGAAAAATGAACAGCTCAGATCTGTCCTATGTATTTGCAGTAGATGTTTAAGAAGGACTTAAGACTTTTTTTTGTAAATTGGCCCTCTGTATTTACTTACATGGTCTTTCATTGCTATATTCATGTTACATGTCTCATACAGACTAAGTAGTATGACTTACGCTTTGTGACATATTTAAAAGATAAATCAGTAGAAAATTCATTTTAAAGCTCTTTTTTTGACTGCCTCTATCTGATGTGCATGAGTATTAATAAAGTTTAGGCCTATCTCTGTTTTGTTCCACAGGCAGCAGGAGCAATTCGTCCTCTAGTTTCTACTGTGATTGCGTCTGCTGCAGATGGCTGTTTAGACCACTCATTGGAACGTGCCAGGTACAGAGCGAGTGAAATGCCTCAGGCGTTCTTATTTGATACAATCTACGAAGCATATCAACAGGTAAGGCTTAGAGACTTCAAGACTCTTTTCTGTTCACCTAAAAAAACCAAACGTTAAACTGTATGCTTCTTTCTCTTCTGTAGTCTTCTGATGAAGATATTTCATCATTCTGATCTATTAAATTTTTTTAATCAAACTGCCAAATACAAGAGGAGGTGAGGGGTCTAAACTATTGGAAGCACAGATTTGCTTTTTTATTTTTTTCTGTGCATTAAATAAATTACTTAAATGAGTGGTTCAATGTTTTTAAAGTTAAGTATATATTCAATATGTATTGTTGACTGAGAGTATAAAAAAAAGAGTATAAAAAAATGTTCAGTGCACAGTATAACAATGACATAATAAAATAATGTGATACAGGCTATTTTAAAATATAGGGATTATAACTTGATACAATTAGGTAAATAAATTTTGAATTTGTTTCATATTGCATGTGTATTCTGTGTACTTTGGTTAGTGGCTGAAAATAATATTTACATAAGTCTCTGTTCTATTTTTCAGTTTTTTTCCTAATTTATTGCCTTAACAGCACCTTTATTTCAGAAAATTAAAATTGCAGGCAGTGTATTAAACTCTGACTCTTTTGCCTTTATTCCTCTTGAAAACTGCTTTTGTTTGCTCCACCCTGTATTCACAGTTTACTGGAAACATTCCAGTTTTTCATCTTGGCATTTTACTTCCTTTTCATTCATCAGCTTGTGGAAATTGCCTGTCCTCCAGGTATCTTCCAAACTGAGTAGAAGCAGAGTATTTCTTCATTTATCACTTGGAAGGAATTATTTTTCACTCCACTAATGCTTACAGTCATGCTTCCCATGAGTCTTTCATTTCTAGTGTAAACAAGCCCAAATGACTGATTCCCACCTTCAGAAAGTACATAACTTAGAAGTCACCAACAACAGAACAAATGAGTGGACAGGCAATGAAGAAGAAACAGTTGCTTAATTGTTCAGTAATTGTTTTACTTTAAAATGTTGGTACAAATTCCATGTCATACCCCTTATGCTTGATACTTGAAGGTATTCCTAGATGCTGAAGATGAAGGACTGCTCAAGATAAACAGCTACTAAAATTATTTGTTGGACTATCTCCAACCTTTTTACTTCTTATGGGAAGCAGGGGGATGTTCTTTGTATATGTGATAACACACAAGCTGATACTTCTGAGCTTGAATGTAGTGGGCATACTCATGATAAAGGCAGCATATATGAGATGGGACACATCTCGAGACAGTAGGTACTGTTGGTTATATAATTGTTTATTTCTTGTTCATCTGTATCTCTTTTTTGCAAATTGCATGCTTATATGTTGTTTCTCACACATACTCCAAAAACAACCCCCTGTGTTTTTCTACTGTGTTTGCACTTAGTTTGCAGATACACTAAAGCTGGCAAATGCATAAAAAGCTTTTGACCTAAATGTCTTCCTCAACAGACAACTATATTTGCAGTCCCTGTACTCCTCTGAGTAGTGTTCTCACATATGCATTCCATCACTCTTTTTGTGTGTATCCTTGCTCTTTCAAGAACAACCCACCAAAGTTGTTAGCAAGCATTCAAGGCTATGGTTCCTTGTCCCCAGTTCCCTTTGCATTGGCTGCATTCTGGTCATTTGAATGCTCTCTGCCTTTGAGCTCTGGGAAGGATAACACTTCGCTAAACCTCTCAACTCATATTGTTTGCTAATTATTTATGTTTCAATGGTGCCTAGCTGTCCAAGTCAAGGATTAAGACCCTATTGTTCTGGGAACTGTACAAACAAATAAAAAAAGATAGATAATTGTTGTCCTGAAAGACTTAAGCTACTGTAGGACAGATTTTTGTAGGAATGGTTGCACCTTATGATGCTTCCTAAATATGAACATAGCTGTCATTAGTTCCCACAACAACCTGGTGAAGTAGGTATCATTGTACAGATTAACCAAAAAAGATAAAATAATTTTGTTAACTTATGTTGCAAGTCATTCACGAAGCTTGGAATGGAATTAATTTTGGCTGACTCAGCATGGGATCATGATCTCACTCCTGTGCATTTTATACAGTTGTGACCTTTATGTAGCAACAGTGGGGGGAAAACCAATGCTCAAACATGCATTCCTTAGGAAGAAACTTTCCATTTCAATTATTGCATCAAATAACATAGTCTTTTTAGTTACAATGTGGATTATGTGAAATACTGCTTTTAAACTCTGTCTCTATTTAAATGCATCGTCTGATGTGAGTAGGTAGATTTAGACAGTTTACTTACAGAAGCATTCTTTTTCATAAATGTAAGATTTCTGCGTGCCTTGAACATGAAGTTACAACATTCAAAGGTCAATTTTGTGACCCTTGCAGGTTTGCAATCTGCAGTCTTTTTTGTTCTTCTTGTCTGGTACCAATCGGAGCAGAGCAGACTAGTTCTCCTTCTCCTTTTATTGCTGTTTCCAATGTGGTTAGAACTAGAAAGGAATAAGCAATTAACACTATTAAAATATGTGAGAATACTTTTGTGTCATCTCTAACAAATTAAAGCAGTTACCTTAAACTTCATCTGTTTCTTACTTTTCTAAAAAGTCATAGTAATGAGTTGGGGAAAATACATGCTTTGTACATAAAATTAGTCGAAGATACAACAAATGCCAATATCTTAAAATGTGTATGGTACGCTGAATTCCCTCTACATTTAGTGTCAAAAATCCAGGATAGATTTTAAGGGCATTCAGCCAAGTTGCATGCATGCATTTCATTATGATGCATCTCATTTTTGTGTGCTGGATCTCAATTTAGTCTTTACTCTTACGTTTTCTCTGGTGCCTAGGACACACACATTCCAAACAGATCTTTTGTTCAGATATATGTAGCTTTCTGATTTAACTGTGGTGATGTCAGGATTTCTGACATCCTAACTATTAGCTTCTCAGCTTTATAGAGCTGTTCAAACCTTTTAGATTTTGTTGCTCAAAAATTGCAATTGTCTTTAATAACTTTGAGAACTCATTAAAACACTCTTCACTTGTATACCTGATGTTTAAGCCCTCTGTAAACAGGGCTTTTCAAAGGTTCAAAACCAGTACTTGCATTTTTTAAATGTGATTTTTTTTTTTTTTTTCCTGGTCTTTTTGAGTTTTCCTTCTTACAAACACTTCATCAAAACAAGAGAAATCATAGGACTGGAAGTGACATCAAATTAGAGTCTGTTTGGTCATTGACCCAGAAACAGAGTGAAGTATTCCATCCATTACCTCCGATGTATGCTATGAAAAAATTTCTGTTGTGTTTCTAATTTTTGCTTGTATTGTGTGAGAGAATTGGGTTCTGCAAGAAGGTATGCATTATATTGTTTTCAAAAGGGTTTCTTGTTACCACTAGTCACATCTCCTTTTGCAATGTGTACTGATGTGAAATTTTCTGTTCTTTGGGACAGCCCTCCTTTCAAAATTCCATAATGCTTCTTAGTTCTGATGGGGAAATTATTTCATACTTCTACCCTGCTATTGTAAGATTCTGTCTGTGAAATAGGGTGGGTTTGTTTGGTATTTTTATTACCCAGAGAAGTAAAGAAAGCTGAAATGGAAGAGCAATGCAAAAAAATGTCGTGAGGTACTCTATACTGCAAGGTTTTCTGATGGTTAATTTTGAATACATTTTTTAACCATAATTAAACAAGAATAGTCTCACACTTTTCCACTTAGCATCAATTTTAACATCAGTTATTGGTGGAAGCAATTTTTTATGAGCCTGTGTACCAGAGGGAAAAAAAAAAAAGACTTTCAGGTGTCCTATATTTTTACTTGGGGAAATGCAAGCAGTTTGAGAACCATTGTGTGTTTCTAGGTGAAATAAGAATTGTGAGTTCTTTGTGTCTGCCTTCCTGTGGTAAGTGGAGTTGTAACAGGGAAGGCAAGAGTTTTCAGTGTTCTTCCACCTCCAAAAGTAGTTGGTGCAACGCAGCAGGATCAGAAGACCACTATTCAGGGAAACAGCTACTTCTTCCACTCCAGAACAGTGATAGTGATTTTAATGTATTTATAAAGTTTCTGTTACATTATTAAACATATACTTTTAACTCAGGCTACCTCAGGGCCCTTGTATTGGCCATGACATGAACAAGACTGGAAACATTTACAGTGAATATTGAAACTAAGTAACTGTTCAGAGTCCACAACAACTAGTGGAGCTAAAATGATGTCTTGATCTTAAAAGGCCTCACTTTTTTGGCTTATGTGTCATTAGATAGAGCACCTAATTGTAATAAATTAATAGACATACAGGATTTTGGCAGATACAGGCACCTACCGCTGTATGTAGTGCTGCTTAATGCTTTCTGTTGCAAGTCTCTGTGTTCTGTTGGTTATATGAAGCATGGGTAAACAGCTTTTTACTTCCATTTCAATGAAGTGTTCCTACCACTTTGTAGTAGGACTTTAAGATTTGGCATTAGGATGGTCCTGATGTGGGAAAAGGATGAATTACATGTGCCTCCTTACATAAGCTTGAGTGTTACTGTGTCACTCATCTTATATATGCCACCTCAACTTATATTCTTATGAAGTAAAGCTCTGATTTCATGCCCTTCTGTTTTTTTAAATTTATAAAAGTTGTTACAGCTTTTATTTGTGTGATGGATACATGCTTGACACCAGGCAGACAAGTGACAAATGCAAACAACTGCAGGGGCAGAAAGAACTATTTATTATGTGAGTGGTATTTCACAGGCAGGAGACCACCTTAGCCAGTGGTTTTCCTTAGGAGGTTGGGTACAACACCACATAAAGGTGTTAAGCAGATGAACTTAATGTTGTATCAGTTCTCTTAGTTCTGGTATGTCCTGATTTCTGAGTTCTTGGTTTTTTTGCACAGTGTAATGAGCCATACCACTAACCTTGAGTGTATAATAGTAGTGGATGAGTTAAGCTTTAAACAAAATAAAACCTGCAAATTTCTAATAACTAGTGAAACTTGTGGAAAAGTTGTAAAATTGCAGATTCAGTTATTTACTTCAATTCTAACATACCTGGG